GCATCTTAAGAGATGGATCGTATAAACGAGTTCCACTTGACATCTGGGCTGAGTCCAAGGTTCAATCGGCGGTCAAGTCAAGGGGCCTACCCAAGGGAACATCCATTCACCGTGTTTGACGATAATGGAATGTAACTAGTTTGGCTTACGAGACATTGTATATTAGTTGAATTATTCGGTCTCATCGTACACAATACCGCTTGAAACGAGCACGTGTCTTTTACAATTGATAGTCATTTCTTCCATCTTTCTAGGAAGTTATTGCACATTCATTTCTGCGTCTACCATTATTACTATGTAATATACATATGATATGTCCCGGAAAGGGATATATTTGTTCGAAGTAGCAAAGTGGTTTTGTGCTACTGTAACCGGGTAGGACAATCTAGCAGGCTGCCGTAATGGATTGGTCCTCGTCGTAGTGGTAGGTCATAGGCGTAGACCCCAGTCTGTATTTATAGACCCAATCATATTATTGTAAGGGGGAATCCAGGTGTATGCATATAAATTATATCAACATATCATTTGTTGTTACCTACAGAATACTTTTTTGTGTGACAATAATGTTCACATTTACAATGTCCAAGAGCCACACTAGGCAGAGGTTCACAGAATAAAACGTATGGAGCATACTTTATGGAAATATGCGGGTAAGATAAAGGTTAATCCTAGATTTGAACAGATTAATATTGTAGTGATCGTGGAAGCATCCACTTGGGAGTTGGTTCTTGTTGTAACCTAGAAAGGGTTACTGAATGAGGAAGAATCGAAACAGAGGTTTGAAATGAAATGGTAATCTTTATAACATCAACAAAATACAATATTCGCCAGGGTAAAAAAATCACCGGAAACAATCGCAGTAATGAAAACTTGGGAAGTCAAAATTTTCAAGATTGCTGGTTCGGATTCGGCGCGTTTTTAATTAGCTCACGGAGTCGGCCTGATTCCACAATGGTATGATATATTGGGCGACGGCCTCTAGGACTAAAGTTTAAAAAGTGTGATACAGTGAATAACTGACATTCGCATTTATTATATAGATGAAGAAGATGAGATGTTGAAAGTTAAAATGCTGTGTCCCTTTACTTGAAAATGTTTGACACATTGACATTAACCTTGATTTATATAGATTTCAACCTTTATTCGCATGAATATTAGAACATTAAAAAAGGAAAAGTTTGTAGCTGCGAGGTTTAGCAAAATGGGTTGTTCTGATTAGTACTTCTACTAATACATCTCTGCTGGCTGATATTCAATTGTGCTTTTTTTGCTTTACAGTGTTCTAATATGGAACACTAACAAATGCATCCAAGATTTCGCGTGTGACAATCTTTTGATAAACACGCATGGATAGTTGACGATATATTAAACATTTCAATATTTATTCATATTAACCTTAGAGTTGGGTCTTGTCCAAAGGATGGACGATGGAAAATTTCCCAAGGACATTCTCTATGCGGATCATTCAAACGAAAGGAGGAAAACTGCGCACCCACAACCTCGATATAAGAACGTTTGAAAACAAGACCTCATATCGTTTAATATCAGTCCTGCCAACTGGGAAAAATCTGCTTAACACCGCCTTCAATGGCAACAGTCAATCCGCATGTGGCTGTCGACATATGAGATCACCTTGGACAATCAGAGAGGGGTCAAGAGAATAAGGAGGACGTACAAACACGCTGTGGGCTTACATAATAATGCTAAGGGGACATTTGTGGTTTGGTGCTCATCTAAAAATTTTTTTAGCTCAATTAAGAACTATATTGATGATATTTGTAATTAAGAGTAAGATGTAAACAGATATTTCATATTCCTAATAAAAATAGAGGTTTATGATCAGTAATACTAGTCTGCTATTAAAAGCCAAGAGAAGCCATGAAGAGAATTCAAAATTGATCCATGCATTTAAATATTGCATTAAAATTCAGTCAGTTATGTTCCATGCGTGATACACGCTTAGACGATTATGTATCATTCGATACATAACTGACGAGCCAGATTTTATCCCGCAGTAGGTTGCCATTTCTTTCTGCGGTAGACCAGTTGCCATCTAAAGCTATAGAACCGGTCTATCCTACTATTTACCCATAGCTGGTGGGAGAAGATGATTCATACCTATCCCACGTAAGTGAATGTAATTGATTTGACAGGAATTCGAACTCGGCTCTCCGAATCTTCAAGCCGAGCCGCTATCCATCACTCAAGCTTACCTTTAGAATTTAATGCATTTATAATTTGGGATGACTAAAAAGGAATATTGTGTTCTGTTACCGCAGTACAGAAACTGTATTGCTTTACTTCCTCTTTCTTTGTCCCCCTTTTTAGTTTAGTTTACTTTCTAGATTGTAACCGTTTTGACCACTTCCGGTAAATCCTTCGCTGGAACCCCAACACAATAAAGGTATTACAGCAACCACGTAATCGGTAGTTTCATCATCCTAATATCACGCCCACCCCAATGTTACTATTACCGGTTTGTAACTTTTATTACCCTTCCTCCCTATCCTTGCCTATTTTAATATCACGTTATTATTTGAATATTTGTTTTATGTAGCCATATTTCATACCTTTATTTTACGTTTGTATATCTCTGTGTAGAAACCTTTCAACACATGTCTACTGTTCACATCACACTGTTGCAAAATGTAAACTTCTTGTAACTTCCTTTTCCGCCAAATCGCCGAAACATTAGAATCTATTCTTTTGGTGAACTTTATATACATTCATGTAAACGCAGTATCCACTGCCTTCTTTTACCCATTGTTTAAATGGTCAAAAGAAGGCAGCGGATACTGCGCTTACATGAATGTATACAAAAGTTCACAAAAATGTTCTTAGTTTTATGTTCAAGCCTTTTGTCATATTCTTTTTAACCTTGTTTGTTTGCATTTTCAGACTAACTAGTCTTATTTATATGTATTTATTTCTTTTCTTTTTTTAGTTTTACCCTTTTCGTTATTAATAAACCCTGTCGATATCTGTGACTTCGTCTTCTTCAGCGACTTAATTACCTTAAGGCCATTGGAGATTACGCACGCGTATGATACGGACGCGTATTTCCGAAGGCAAAACATATTGAAAAGCAAAGCATCGGAATGTGGGTCTCTAGATCAAGTAAATATATGTAAAAATATGTCGAAAAATTAGCATTTGGTGCCCGGTATATAGACTCAAATGCGATTAAGTATTGATTTAACATATGAAAGGAACTGAGTATGTTTTAGATATCTTCCCGAGAACTATTTTCTTACATAGATTGAAATTGTTCCAATATTTGCAATCTTACTTTCAAAATGAGAAAAAAAATGACTGTCTCTGGGATTTATTGCTAGCCTTATTCGAAGTTGAAGATCAGAGATAAAAAGAAAAAGGCAAAACACGACTAATAACTATGGTAATTTCTTGGAATTTTGGTGTCTTAAGGCCCCCGCCAATCTACCAAAAGAATGCCAAGTTAAAAATGTCTGTAATTTTTAACATTTATTTAAAAAAAGATTCCAATGATTTTCCTTGCATAAAGAAGCAGAACAAACAAACTCTCCAGAACAGGTCAGGTGAAAAAAAAGAAAAAGAATATCTATGTGTTTGGATTAACTTTAAACAATTATAATTTGACTAATAATTAGATTAACATTAAGACAATCTTTACACAAGTTCTAAAATCCGACTTTTATTTCAGAAGTTACTGAATTTTCCTACCTTGTCAAAATTACCGAATTTTTCGCTACCGAATCTTCTATTACCGAATTTCAAGTTTACGAATTTTCCGGATACCCCGTTTTCAATACAGGTTTTATATTCGAAGGAATATATAGAAAGACTCTTAACTCTCTCTGGCAAAATACTAATGCCACTAATCAAATTGAAATTAGTTAAGCATCTCACTTGGCAGGGTCTTCTTTCAGACAAAGAAAGTCAACCACCGATGTATTGACAGTTATTGTTGAGAGAGTTTTGTCATAATTTAGATAATAATGGCGATGTTGTTGATTCAGATATTTCGAATGCGTTTGGCAGGATTTAGCATGTGGGTTTTTCACAAGATGACATTGCTTCTAGTGGTTTCTTATTTTGATTTAATCTTTCTTATCAAAGCGCGTAAAGAAAACTGTATTGAACGGCTACTTGTACGCCATTTTGCGTTAATGCGGGCGACCCCCAGGGCTCTTTTCTTTATTTTCATCAATGTCATTCCCTATTTCATCAGATCATAATTCTGTATATATGCGGATGTCAGAGCTATTTACTAACATCTTAATAGTATTCTGATGATCAGATGAAATCAAATTAACAGGTGATCACGAAAATGACTTACAATATGTTGTGAACTAAAGCAATTTTAACGCCTCTAAAACGTAACTGCTCTCTATAAATAATTTAAAAGAAAATTCTTTTTCCGTCTATCAACATGGCTGATGCCAACTTGCAGGGGAAATAATTGATGGGCTCAAGATTCCCACTGACATGAAGTAAATATATTGAATCAACTGCTAAGATTGGCGGCAAAGTCTCACCATTTTTTAGTTGAAAGGTTTCCATGAAACCGTAAGTTCTATGTTGACAGTTTCTTCTATCGCATGTCGCGATTGTCTAACTCGCTTTCGGCTCCAGTCAATTTTGATCTTCAAAAGATTTAAATTCCATGTCAGTCGTTAACTTCTGTCTTCATAATTACTCTTCCTTTATTTTTCTCTTTCCTCAAGAGTATTTTCACATATTCTCAAACAGTCAGCAACCTTTTGCATTCTAGAGGCTTTATTTCCTTGCTTAGGGTGAAAGGATATATATATATATATATATATATATATATATATATATATATATATATATATATATATATATTATTGCCACATCTAGTGAGATGCTCCCACTTCATATCACCACGAAATTCTTGACAAAATCCAAAGAAGAATCTGCAAGGTTATCGGCCCTGATCTGGTATCACGGCTTCAGTCAATTCCTCATCACCCTAGCGTATCCACACTTTGCTTCATGCTTCCGGCCACATCATTTTGAAACACAGGTGCCCGTATGATCACAAAAGGTAAGTAACATCGAGCCTCGTCATTACCTAGATGGGTGACCGCTTGGGAATACCAGGTGCTGTAAGCCTGGATTGCCCGGGGGTGTAATGAATAATGTTTCAAAACTGTTTCAATTCCAGTTGGGTTCCTTATATTTCTTTACACGTAAATATCTTTGAGAAAGGTATGGAATTAAGTCTTCTCCCCCAGATATGGGTTAATTAGTAAGATTTGTATTACTAAACAATTATCCTCCCCGCCAAAAAGATAATGGCTCTTAATAACCTGCAAAGGGTTCATAAGCCGTAGAAAACGAACCAACTTTGCCTTTTCTATAAAAATTTCGATGGTAATTCTTCTGATGAGATTTTCTCTTTGGTACCCTGATTTCACGAATTTGAGCGCAGTACTAGGTTGGCACTTACATCTCAGAATTTCACTGTTCAAATTGTTAGATTTAGGTGTAAATTAGATTCTGATAATTTATTTTTCTTCGCGCACTTCTGTCTGCGGAAGCTTCAATTTTATATCCAAAATGTAAACAATGCAATTCCCGAATTTTTGATGGTTTTTGATTATTTCAAAACTTATTTTTAGCTGTTACTCGTGTTTGCAATAGACGTCCACTTGTTTTAGTGGTTAAGCAGTGTGATTTCTGTGTACCGACTTGCACACTGAAGAAAACTTAAGAAAATGTTGTCTTCCGTTATATAACAAGACATTCTTGACAAAATTCAATGAAGAATATTGTTGGTCCTGACACGGCTTCAGTTCCATAGATTCCTTGCGCCTTTTTTTATAAATATTCCCATCGTAATTATTCTGTTGGTCTTTCCTGGTTGGTACCACGACGTCAGGAATTTAATGAATTTTTCTCTCTAGAATCTATCTTAAGAATTTATAAATCTACCATACATAGAATATTGTTGCCACATATGACCTGGTACATCTACTATGTATACAGAGATTCTTGATAAAATCTAAAGAAAAAATCTGCAATTTTATCAGTCCTGAACTGACATTTCGGCCTCTTTTATATAACTTTCTTGTGCCTTATATATATATATATATATATATATATATATATATATAAGGCACCCTAACCCTAAACCTGACGATCCGCTTAGGTAAAACCTGGGTAGGTTTGTCTGGCTCACTAGGTTTGACTATATATATATATATATATATATATATATATATATATATATACTAGCAGCATGGCCTGGCGTTGCTCGTGCTTGATTAAAAATCATACGACTCATACAGCAATCGCTATCGCTTGACTTAAAATATTTTTGCCCTTCCTTGCCTTTAAAGGAGTGCCCTTTGCCGTGCTGTTGTTGCTACATGCCTTACTTCTTGCCTATCTCACACTGCAATTTTTTTTCTAAGCTCTATACTAAACATTAAATCTGTTACGAAAAAAATAACTAAACAAAATGAACACAAAACGATCAGCTTTAAAAAAAAAAGGACTCGTAACTGGAAAAAACGAATGAAAAAAAGAATGTTAACAACAGATACTTTTTCACACCGAACCCATTTCTGCGGAATCAGAATCAACGTTGAATTTAAGCAAGCGAATGAGCCAATTGGAGGAAAGTGCCATGCAGATTTAAATTTTTCCCACTTGTGACGAATGCAGCTATCGAATATTTGCATGCTAGCATGCTAGTTAACATTCGTGTCAGTCAACTGTTGGCTCTCACGCTGGCCAATAGAATCTTCCTGCCTATTCGTGGCAGCCAGTTATAGGTTCTCACTCTGGCTAGTAGAAAATGGCCGCAAACTACATGAAAACCGCCGTAGAAACATGAAAAAATCGATTATTTCCACTATCGATGGGAGTTGGGAAATGCAAAGTCAGTCTTGGCTTTCCTACTAACTTGGAGCATGTGCATATAAATTTTGGTGCAAATCCGTCGAAAATTGCAGCCGTGCATTCGTTACACGCAGACACACACACATCCTGCCTTTTATAGATAGATATTATAATTTTATCATATAGACAAAACCATTTTACTCACTACAAGATGCAACTTCCTTTGAGTGAGTAAAAGTGTGTAACATGATATATATGATAAAATTAAAATAAATAAATAATTATCGCTCTACTATCGGTATCGAGCCCTCTTTTGGATTAATGCTTTGGACATATATATATATATATATATATATATATAGATTTCATGGTAATTGTTCCGATTGCCATTTCTTGTTGACTTCACGAATTTGAACGCAATACTAGATTGTCAACTTGATCTCATAATTTCATTTAAAACTTTGATTCCCTACCAAATCCAAAGTCTTGTGCCAGGCACAAATACATTGTCTAGTAGGAATAGCAAAATATAACAGACCCAAAACAAGACAACAAGGCAACCATTGCGTAAAACTTTAAAAGGAAAAAAGACATTGATTTTTACAGTACACATTTACGAAAAAAGCTACAAATACAAAGTTTGCATGAAAAATTCCTTTTGTACACCTATTAAGACAGAACAAGTATTTCATTTTTGAAATTCTTAGTTGCAACCATATTTTCTCTGATAATTGTTTCTTCTCGCTTTTGGAATCTATTCCGGCTTCCAGCTCCACCAATCGAGGAAGTGAGAGATGACCCTACCTCTTGATATGTAACTGTATAATGAGCTGTCCTCCTTCCTTTCTTTTCTTTTTGTCCTGCTTTCGTATCTACGACGACCTTCAAAAATTTAAATACAATGTTAATCGTTATTTTTCTGTCTCCGTGAATCCTGTTCTTTTTATTGTTGTCGCTGTTTCTTTTAGACGCAGCAACCCCTTGCACCTAGTGGCTTTTATCGCCTTGCTTGGAGTGAAATGATTAAAAAAAAAGAAAAGACAAGGTATCAATTGAAACGTCTTCGTATCAATAAAACCAAGAAAACGAATGAGATACGTATCCTAAGAACTCCTGAAATGGTAATGATTCTAAATTGCAGAATCTATCTTAAACACGATAAACGTTGTATATACATCGTTACAGAATATGGCGCTGATATAATCAAATATATGCAAACACGCGTTTTTGTGATTAGGTGAAATCGATAACCGCTATCACTAATGACCTCTAATAGAAACTAAACTGTTTTAAGAAGATGGGTAGATAGCCATCATTACTGTTTTTTTTTTGTTTTGTTTTTTTTTTCTTTTTTCTATTCTTGCTACCCTTGTTAAAATCGATTGGCAACACGGTTATTTCGTTCATTAAGAGTGCAATATATTTTGTCCTGGGGAAAGAAAACAATATTCGACGACGGACTGGGGGAGAGAGAAGAAGGGTGTCAAGAAAATGGAAAAGAAAAGTTGATCGAAAAAGAAAAAAAAAAGCCGTAACAAAAAAAAAAAAATAATAGGATGATAAGAAAAAAAATGAAGTAAAAAAAGAAGAAAGCAGTAAAAGAAAGAAAAGAAAATAAATATAAAAGAAAGAAAGAAAGAAAGAAAGAAAGAAAGAAAGAAAAGGAAGTAGCAAGAAAGAAAGAAAGAAGCAAGAAAGAAGAAAGGAAAGAATGAAAGAAAGAAAAAATAAATAAATGAAGAAAGAGTTGCTTTTAATCAGAAAGAAAGAAAGAAAGAAAGAAAGAAAGAAAGGAAAGAATGAAAGAAAGAAAAATGGAGTTGCTGTTAATCAGAAAGAAAGAAAGAAAGAAAGAAAGAAAGAATGAATTAAAGAAATAAAGAAAGAAGCCCGAAAGTAATGAAAGAAAGAATGAAAGAAAAATTGAAAGGAAGAAAGAATAAAGGACTTGCCGCTAATAAGAAAAAAAAAGAACGCAGGAAATAAAGAAAAAGAAAGAACGAAAAAAGAAAGAATGAAAGAAAGAAAGAAAAAGAAAGAACGAAAAAAGAAAGAATGAAATAAAGAAAGGAAAAGAAAGAACGAAAAAAGAAAGAATGAAAGAAAGAAAAAATATAGAAAGAAAAGATAGAAAAAAAATAGAAATAAATCATCTAAAAAGAAAGAAAGTAGAAATAAAGAAAAAGAAAAAATATATATACGAAGAAAGAAAAGCAGAATAAAACGTGAAAAGTAAAAAAGTGACACAACGAAAGGTATACAAAAACAGGAAAAAGGAAACAAACTGAAAAGCAAGTAAAAAAAAAAGAAAAAAAGGAAACTTCATCATTAAAAGAGGGGGAGACCAAAAACAAGAAAAAAATAAAGAGAAATAGGGAACATGTGGGAAGAATAAGGAAAACAAAAAAAAGGGGGGAAAATAAAAAAAAAAGAATAATTGAAATAAACTAAAATCTGAAAGACAAAAAATAGGATAAAAACGTCGCACAAAAATTTAAACCGAAGAAAATTAAAGATGAAAGGATAAAAAAGAAATGAAAAGAAAGGTATGTACAGTATGTCGCAGATAATTCCGGCATTTTTTAAGCGGCAACATCGCCGTGACGTCACAGCGTAGCGCGGATTCTCGTGTGATATCTGAAAGTACTACACCTCAATAGGTGTCTGGCCATGGACGCACGAGTTACTTACTAATCGACATGTCGATCGTCGAGTTGTTTTTGAGGAGAGCATTCACGCCGGCCACAAAGTCAAGGAAATCACTGAATGGTTTAAATGCACTAAAACCATCGTATACGACTTTGCAAAGTCAAACTGGTCTCAGACTTTGCCGATGCTGCCAAGGAGTTCCCCAGCACAAGCATGAGAAAAATCGTCAAGAAAATGGGCACCAGCAGGTGAACGATCGTGCGTATTGTCAAGGATAAATTGAATTATAAATCCTATGTGCTCAAGAGGCGCCACTTGCTCACCGTACCACTAGTCACCCGACATAAATATCTCACCCCGCCTCATCGCCAGACTGCAATTCTCTCGACTATTTTGTGTGGGGCGTTTTGGAGACGGAGGTGAACAGCAGGCCCGACATTACCAAGGAGGTTCTCAAGGAAGACATCAGCGACGCCTGGGTGAACATGGAGAAGAGGCGCCGCCACCAAATCCAACTCTAGATTGCGTTCCCGCCTGGAGAAAAATGATGGCCGACGATGGGGATCACCTCGAGTGATTTTTGTACCATATATATATATATATATATATATATATA